CTGCGCGCTGAGCCGCCGTCAAAGGGTCATGCATGTCTTCCCGATGAGCTCACACTCGCACGACCCCGTGCTTCTATTCCAGTTTGTGTGTGTGGTTCATGTTTCCCCCTCACAATAAATGACCTGATACCTGACCTGTCCCTTGCATGCGGGTGGTTGGTTGGTGGATGGGTTATTACAACTTGCTCCAACTCTTCTTACTTAGTGGGTGGTCAGTGGGTGGTTTTGTAGGGTTTGCTCCTTCTCACTCTTTTTAATTACTGAGTGGTTGGTGGGTGCTATGGTGTGGTTTGCTCCTTTTTTCCTGTCGAAACTCTATCGTCCTTGTCTCTCCTCCTTTTTTGTGTATGTTACTCTCTTGCAACACATCTGTTCTTCAGCACTTTATATGACCTAAATGTGTTTCAAGTACTGTAAAACACTTGTTAAAACAGAAACAAAAACAGACAAGTTGAAGTAGCCTGTGTCCTATCTGGTCTAGATTTTGTCAGTGAGGGCCTAAACCATACCAAAACCGTCCACCAAAGATGCAGGTGGATAGGACGTAGTGTTTTCTTTCAAGCTCTGTGTGCTGCGATGATGTTCTAATCGTGTTTTTTTTCTTTCTTTTCCTTTTCACAGAATACAAAAAGAACTAGCAGAGATCACCCTAGACCCTCCCCCAAACTGCAGGTAAGAATTTAAGGGTGTATATGTCTGGCATCATTGGGAAATTTGGCACTCATCAAAATACTGAAAATGAAGAAACAGGTATTTTTTCGTCAGTTTTGAAATTTTTAAAATAAAATTTTTGTTTGGGCTCAGCACATGTTTGTGTCCGTCTAAACACATTTCCATGTGAATTTTACTGAAAAACGTTTATGGGCACAACATACGTAAATTATCAGTTTTCAAGGGCTCTCAAGCTATCAGTTACCAAACCTTTGGCATTCTGCCACACCCCTGATCTTCTGGTTGGAAAGATCTACACCTAGCCTTCTCGGATAAGGGCGAAAAATCTCGGAGGGCCCGTGTGCAAGTTGCGCACGTTAAAGATCCCTTGGTGGTCTAA